TCGGAATTACACTCTCTTCTACTTCGCATCCTCCGGAACCCCTGAACCCTGACCCTGAATCCCTGACCCCCTGAACCTCGTACAACTTGCCTCGGTTGTACACCTGCTCCTAGACCTCGCTTCTGAACTCTCTCCTGTCCCTGTTGTGGTGTGCCTTGGGCTACCCGACTCTCAGACCCTATCCGTTACCGAACTGCAGAGAGCTCCTCCAGGTACAAAACACGTGACTAGAGTAAAGAAAATTTGGTAGCCGTAACAGAATGTTGCGCAGGTGCAAGGACGCAGCGGGGGGGTTGTGGTCCCGTTTATGTGGTGTAGGCGGCGGGTCAAGTCAGGGCCTGAGGAGAGAAGGGGGTGGTGGGGGTGGTGGGGGTGGAAGTAGGCGGATGATATCATTAACTGGCAACTTGGTAATTGCTTGATGCCTAGAGAAAGTGAACGGGAGGTCTACCTAACTACCACCAATACTATTCCCATCTGCCAAACCCACCATCGTCAACTTCCCCAGCTGCAACCTCCCTAGAACCGCACGTGTTTAGTTTGTAGTACTCCTTCGAATCTCCTCAAGACTAGGCGCAGATCTCAATGCTTCCTGCTCCCCAGCATCCTCCTCTACCCCTACCCCGTCCATCTCTTCATCGCTCCTCCCCGAACCTACCCCATACAACCCTGCCTTCTTCGTAACCAAATCACTAACAACCTACTCAGGTACGGAATAGATCCTCTCCAAACTGCCTGCGCAGCTGGGGAAAATATTCCTTCCCACTGATGAGGCCTTCAGCCTCGGTGTCCTGCAGCTTGCGTAGAAAGCCCCGATTAGCAAGTGAGATGGCGAGCGTTTCGTCATCGGAGTCTTGCCATGCTGGAAGATCTTCCTCTCCTTCCTCTTCTGAAGAGTCATGGCTGGCGTCCCGAATACTCTTGGAGGGGATTATAGCGTTGTTGGACTGCCCCTTATCGACAAAGAATAATTCATCGTCTAGAAGTGCTTGTAAGTCTATTCTCGCATCTTCATTTCCATCTCCATCTCCGACAGGTGCAATCCCTCCTTTGTCGCTTTCGTTAGAATCTCTACCATCAACTTCATTCAACCCATCCTCGAAACCTTCCCCGTCGCCAAAGATTAATTTTTCGAGGAACTCCTCTTCGACATCCTTCTTTTGAACCGGTACTCCATTATTCGTGCTTTCCGAAGGTGCAGGCTCCACGTGGACTAGGGAGGTGGATTTTGAGGGCCTAGCTTTCGAGCGCGATTTTTTGCCCCTCTTTGCTGCACTTGTTGGGGGTGAGATGGTAATTATGGACTTGCTGGTACTCGAGTAGAGGGTTGTAGTGGGGGGGGGTGTTCGGTTGGGGAGGGCTTTGTAGGGAGTCGGTGCCACTTGATTTGAGCCCCATGTTTGGCCCCGGAGTCTAGGGTGGCAAAGGACAAGTGAGGAGTTGTGGATTCGAGATCAAGGCGGGTTATTATATCGTAATGTGGTTTACGGGTTGGTTGCAATTACAACATGGGGCGTTCACAAAGTAAAATAATATCTATCGCCCCATTTCCGGATACAAAGAAAGAAAGAAGAGAAAAGAACCCTTTATTGCTGCATCTTTACTTCCTCCCGACGAGTCCGATGCTTGCCACTCATCGTGCACCACGCTACTTACGGCTGTCGAAACGGCTCTCGCTTTCGAACCCTCTCAATTCCGCTACCTTCACACCACACTTCCAAACCGCTCTAGGGGACTCGGCAGCCCCTTCTCCTCCCATGTTGTTGTTGGCCCCCCCCGTGACAACAATAAAACAGCCCGTGGGGGAATATGTTCTGCAGATACGCAAGCAGAATGGTGACTACCTCCCCGCGGGTCTGCTGGAGGAGGGCGAGTACAGAATCTACGAGAGGTACTATGGCCACCCCGCCTGGCTGGTGCATCCGGACGAGACGCTCCACCATTTCCCACCCCCAAAGACACCTGTGGAGGGGGCCCTATATGCACAGGCTGCCAAGCGAATCGTGCACCTTGAAGGGGTAGGGGCGGAGGGGGTAGGGGCGGAGGGGGTGGGAGGGGGGAAGGTGCGGACCTCGGTGCCGATGGTTCTCCTCTTGTCTTTCGGACACACCCACTCACTTCCGTCAGCCATTTCCCATCGCCTCAGGTCGGACTTCCGCCATAAGTAAGGGACTGGACAGGGTCTGTGATCGTGGATGTTGTCACTTCGCATCTGGCGGAATCCGTGCACAAGACTCTCAGCAGTCCACAACTCGAATGATCGCCCATCTACAGGAGGAAGCGGAGTAATCACCAGTTGACTATCTCCTGGAACCCAGTTAACAAGCACATGTCGGATATGGATGCCAATGTGTTTCTCGCTGCCGTGATGCCGGTGCTGTATGCGCAGTGCTTAAGTCCATTGACCGAGCTGCAGAAACGGTTGGGCGGTGATTGGGTGCTCGGTGGGGATCCGGGGGAGCCGGGTGTTAAGAATGTGCTCGATGTGGGGAGTGGGGGCGCTGGGGCGCTTGCTCGGCAGAGGGTTGTCGAAGCTGAAGATGTGGTGAGGAAGGATGAGCTTTCGGAGAGAACCGGGAAGCCGCCACCTGGCCCGGATGGGAAGGCTCTGCCGGTGGCGAGGGGGCAGAGTGGAATGCGGACTGTTGTTGTCACCGGGCCCATGGCTATCAGGGAGAAGAGTTTGAGGCTCTTGGGCAATGCTCTGCTTATTTCCCGAGTGCCAGATATCTACTTCAAAAACCTACACCACACGCCGGACACCCCGGCAGTGAAGAATAGGGCTCAGCCGAGAAGAGTCTACGACCTGGTCATCGCTACAAATGGACTCCTCCCGATAGTGAAGTCATCTTTCAATCGCCTAGTCATTGAACAACTCTGGTCGCACCTGATCCCGAACGGCGGCGTTCTTTTGATGATCGAAAGGGGCACGCCGATGCCTCCCGTGATGGCGTATACCACCGCCCCAACACAAAGAACAAAATCAGACCAACAATGGACGGCTTTGGTGTAACCCCCGCCAACGCGCCAGTTCGAACCCCATGTTGGGCGTCTCAGCTCCGCAAATACAGTCTAACCCTCCTACCCATCATTCTCCCACCCATCAAATGCCACGGGTATGTTGCGCTCGACATGTGCTATCGAACGCTGGACTGTCCCTAAGAACCTCGGAAAACTGGAGTATAGAGACGCGAGGAAGAGCGGATGGAGTGATCTCGGAGTACCTGGAGCAAAATCTCACAAAGCGGAACATAAAGATTGACGATGGCAACAAGAAACTTAAGTCAAAGTTGGTTCCTATCATGGGCCCTTATGGCGATGGGGTGAGAGCTATTGTCAAGGATAAGATCCCCTCCTTCCGGAAGGCATGGAAGAAGCAGATGAGGGAGGCGAAGAAGGTCGCAAGGCTTCAGAGGAAGTAAGAGGGTCGGGAGAGGCAAGACGAAATGGTTAGTTAGCACAAGGAGGCGAAGGAGGCGGAGAAGATCCCAAGACCTCCGAGGGAGTTGGAGGTTAGTCAGGGGTATGCCGAGGTGGTTAGCCAGCACAAGGAGGCGATGGAGGCGATGGAGGCGAAGAAAGTCACAAGGCTTCAGAAGAAGCTGGAGGTTAGAGAGAGGCATGCCGAAATTCTTAGCCGGTACAAGGAGGAGAATGAAAGCAAGGTGCAGGAGAAGGCAATGGTGAAGAAGGAGGCCAGGGAGATGCACGCCAAGACGGTTCAGATGCATAAAGAAGTGAAGAGAAGAAAACATCAAGAAATTCAAATGGCGAAAACAGAGTAGGAGGCGACGAAGGGGGGGGGGGTAATCGTAGTTTTGCGCTCGTAATGTAATAATATTTTCATATCCTGAATGTAGACCACCAGTGGGTGGGGTGTATTTATATATGAGGCTTTCCAATTTTTGTAAATTATTTATCTGGCTCCGAAATAGGTATTATCCAGAGTAGCCAATGATGGCGGTTCATGGGTCAGTGGGGCGTCGTTCGAAAAGGTTGAGTGATCGTTAATGAAAAGGTACCACCACCACAATCTCTTCCACCACCCGTCCAGCAGTTGTGTTGACTAGGGAGGACGTATGTATCCCCGTGTTTGTTACACTCGTGTGCGGGAAAGTGCTAGCGAGGGTGGTGACTGGCTGGAGATGAGTCTCATTGGCATTTTTCTTTTGCTAGGAGATGGGGGGTCTCAGCGTGGCTTTCTCTATCTATCGTAACATTATTTGTCAGGTTTCCATATGTACCTTCCTACGTTCCACCAAAACTCGACCGAAGCGGTGCAGTAGACCACTATCCTTCGCAGGAAGCGGGGTGGCTTGAAAAAAAAAAGAAAGCAAGGTATTTGTCTATCGAGTGATGTTTCGTGGTCAAGCCGAATAATGATATATTGTAGTTTATCAACCAAAGAGGGGGGGCGAATGGTTCGTACATGGCGTTCGAATCCTTATCCATCACTGTGTGAATGTGGTAGCTTCCGGGGAGGAACTGTCTGTCTGTTCGCTTCACATTTACTATTCCGAATATGTTACCGGGTGCAAGAAATGGGCAGGCAAGCCTGTTTTCCTCCGCTTCACGGTCGGATGGAAAATCATCACCACGCTCAGGCTCATTGCTTACTTCTTTTCTCGGCAGCTGAGTATAGGAGTTGGAAGACTCCCTAGATACTGGCATATCATCATTGTTGAGTGCAGCTTTTGGCCTGATGAGCTAAGGTTCTCTCCGACTGGTCTTGAGAGGTGTGGTAACAAGGGGTGATGGTTAATTGGTGTCTCCTAAGTATGATATTGCACTATTCATGCAGCCATGTTATTAAGTCTGTACGTAGTTGTTCACAGTAGTCTTAAGGATCCTTGTGCCCATAATGCACCGCTTTCTGTCTGTTTGGGGAAAAAAAGGCACTGAATGTTTATCTATTGTACAAGGGAGAAGAAAAAAGAAATAGGAGCGGAGAAAAAGGTGTGACCACCACTATTTATCTATATTATAGGCATTGTCTACTATGTGAAGCTAGCGGCAAGGGAGGGTTGGAAATCACGGTCCAGCACATTAGCTCTTCCTTCACGAGCTTCGAGCGCCGCACCATACCGTTCTACCGCCAACTCTCTGATATAAGTCCCTAGTTTTCTGTGGAAGAGACCCCATTTAAAGCCAACATGATGGTCCTCTTCAAAGGAGACGTCTAAGAAATCGGAGAGGTGAAAGTATATATAGGTCCTATTATCTGCGTTTAAGTGGTTCTATGCAAGTTAGCGATATCAGAAACATCACCTTGACCTGTCTTGAGGAGTCGCTTACATGGGGGCCGAACGTGCCAATTGCCAAGTGAGACGTGGGATGACGTTTCCAGATTTCAATCGAACCGGTAATTTTGCCGACCCAGCATAGACCTTTATAACAAGCAGGTCCATGGGCCTCATCCAGGGAGAAAAGTTCTTGGGAAACTTCTTCAGATGGAGGAAATTCTAGGTTGTCAAACTCCTCATCGGTAAGTCGTGAGGTTGGGTTTTGTTAAGCGGGATCCTCATTCATTTTTACTAGCATCACTGTGGACACGGTGTCTGTTCCCTCTAACCACATTCTGGCATCCCGAACCAGATCGTCATACGTCTCAGCATAACCAACTTCCAATATGAACTTTACCTCCAGAGTCCCTGCTGCATTTTCCACCTGAACCATGGTATCGGGTACTTTTCGGGACCCTTTGTAACCACGTTTAAAGGAGCGGAATTTTTGATTGTAGACGATGTCGATTCTCTGAAAAAGTTGTATGGGGAGGCTACTTCTTGTCAGATTGAACCCTTCCGAGATTGTGCTGATAACCTTTTCATGAATCGGGGTTGGGATATGTTGGATGATGAGCCTCGAGGTTAACGTATTAAACGCAATTTTTGGAAACCTGACACTACTTAGTAATTCACTTTAAAGTGGAGTCGAGACGGAGTTCTACTTTTCGTCATCGCCTACACCTAAGATCTCGCTGAATCCGATAAAATCAGATTCAGGCATTTGCATTCTTAGCTCCAATCCCTCCTCACCCGCAGGAGAGCCAAAACTCTCAGCACCTAACCGCCAGTTTTGAAATTTCCGTACATATTCACCAACGGATACGGATTCAGGATCTCCGGTAGATGGGGTCGGCTCAACAGGACCGGAAGCGGCGTCAGTAATACGGTTTTCCATGTGGCGATAAGGCGAACTTGAAGTCTCGATGGCACGGCGGTGCGGAAAATTGTGGTGGACGGGGGCTGGTCTGGGTGTGCCGCTCGGCCGTCCGAAACAAACATTCGGCGGTGTGGGGGGGTATCCAGGTGCACTGTAGCTCCCAAGCCCATCATAGCTCCTTGTTTCGTCCCATTGGTATGTCATTTTACCGGAAATTACCTGAAAGAATCAAGTTAGTTGACAAATCATGAATGCAATGTAACGCATTTTTTAATTGAACTGGAGATGGAGCTAAATAAAGTGTGGCTCAATAGGCAACTGAGTGTAAACCTCGATAGGAAATTTTTTCTTTTCTAAGAGTAAAAGCTTCGGTAGAAATACCACCATAATGAGAATAATACGAGTGCGGCCGATAGATATATGTGTTATGTGGATATTTTCGGTGAGGCTTCCTCACCACAACCACCTTATCAGGCCCACGTGACGGATATATCTATGAGCCGCACTCATAGTTGGAGTAAAAAGAATAGGGAGAGGAAAGGTAGGGAAAAACAAACTGTCTTACCGATGTCAATGGTTGTGGTCCGAACTGTAGTCTGCGAGTTTTTGGCAGTGGATGGTGTGGTTGTGGGAGTTGGGTGGACGAGGAAGGTTTAAGTAGACGGCGTGAGCCCTCACCGAGGCGCGGCATGGCTTAGCTATCATACCTACTCTGGTTGACCGCGGGGATCCTTTGCTGATAAATATCGCTGCGCCTCGCTGAGGGCACCCCCAGTCTATCTGGCCTCATGCTATAACCATCGCACCTGGTCCGCAGACCTTTAAAGGGTCTGTAACAAGAACGATTGGTACTCGTACCATCAAGGAAGGATTACTTTCTTCCATATCTACCGCCGATCTCCAAGAAAATGCAGGCCATGCCCTCCCAGCAAGCCGACGTCTATCTGTTACACATATGAACACACAGACCTTCCCCGCGCACAGACCTCCTGAAAACCGCGAAAAATCCATGGCCAACACCCCCCTCCGGCCCCGCCGTTCGCCCTGCGAGCAGTAGTAGAGTCGCCGGAATTTGGTGTCCCGACAGTATAAACCGGTTGAAACGAAGCATGCCTCATAACACCGTATACGTCGTCGCCGTCCGTCCGACCGAAAGCTGTTCGCAGGATATATAAGAGGGGACCTTAGGCCATGTCTGAAAAGTGGAACGGGGTCAATCGGACGGGTAACCACGGAGCTACGAGCTAAGCGAGATTGACCATCGCAGACATGGACAGAAAGTGTTGGGACGAAATCACCAACAGTCCAATGAGTTATCGGGACGTGCCCGTAAGGACGAGGCACGGGGCCCAGTCTAACGCTCACATAGTATAGCGCCAACCGGAGGCCTATCTATGGTTGAGGGACTTTCCCACGACGTTGACTAGTCCGATCGTGGCGGAAAGTCCTCAATGTTGATGCAGTCAAGTTGCGAAGTCAACAGTGCATTGATAAGTCTCTCGACGGAGCTGATCACTCCAGTCAGAGTTAGGAGGACAGCGAGTTGGCTCGAAGCGAGACCACTCGTTTGTACTTAAACCTCCGAGACGACGGAATCATGCGTTTTCGCCGGAGAGGTTTCAAAACGCCCTCACGGAAACACGACAACA